AGAGAGAGAGAGAGAGAGAGAGAGAAATAAAAATAAAAGTTTTAAATTAATGGCCGCCACTGGCCGACGCTCTGGAAAACTACTCATATTGAAAATTAGTAGTCTCTTTGAGTATAATTGCAATTGCACTTATTTGAGTGTGGGAAACTCAATTATCAGTCATTAAATCATCTCGGCTGACCTAGGCTGACTACAGCTCTTATTCAGGATCAGCCTTTGTGACTACCAACTGACAAAATATTAGTTGCTGTACAAGAAGTAGCCGCAGGTTTGTAATAAATGACAGACAATGGATTACTTTGAGCCGTGATTTTTTTGGAAAGTCGATTGCCCGCCTCTACAGCGTCGTCTGGAGTTTTTACCTCTTCCGCTTCCCACATTTATATGAATAGGCAATGCCTCGAGATTTTAATTCGTCTTGCCTCTCAAAAAAATGATATAGTCTCGGGTGAGTTACCCTTTTTCATCTGCACTCCCTAAACGCATTCGAAGTTTGGCGGCGCAGGACAGATCTGAGCTTCAAGGAGAACCAGACATTCGCTAAATCCCATTTTCAGGGTGTGATAATTGATGTATTTGCTATTTCGATTGACGACACTACTCACATTCGATGTGAGGATATTTCGATAGGCTGACGCATTGAGTGGGCGGCGGCGGTGCCAAGTTCGAGTCCCTACAAAGCCACTCATCTTGGCCGAGGCGTCAATTGATACACACCGCCTGACAACAGTCACCACTGCCTTTCCAGACGAACTGTGCTCTCTGAGTCTCCGCTGAGCAGATGCAATGTTGTGGCTGCATGGCCTCGTCCTACAAGCGCACACTGCTCGACTCAGACTGCCGACCACTCGCTTCAAACGGGTGCTCAAACGGAGACACACAACAGCACAACCACCCCTTTTGCACACACGCAAGCATGCAAACACCGGCCGACACAGACCGACACAGACCGGTAGTGCGACAGCAGCTCTGCTTGTTTGGCAGCCTAATTCGGAGTTGCGGTCATTCGACGGATCGTCTACAAAGGCAACATCTGCATCGAAGGTGCCACGCCGGAACAGATGCAAACTTGAGGGTTAGTTACGGTTTTTCGTTGAATTAAGCCGTCTCACCTCTTCTCTCGTGACCCTTTCACCACTCGGCCCGACCCTCTGTCCACCCTTTCCCTACCTCGTTCCCTCGCTTTCAGCCTCTCACTCATTCCTTTAATATGAACATCTCAACGACGAGTTAAGGTAATGCCTATATTTAGAATTTCAGGTGTTCACTGATCGATTTCGTCGAGAAGGCTGTAAGTTCTTCCAGCAAAGTTCACTATTTCTCAGACTCCGATTGCGTGAGATTGCAAAAAATGCTCGGATGGATTTGTGCTACTCTTCTTGGCGTTGCCTCGATCCTCGGATCATATCAAGGTTAGTTTAATTGTTCTCCCAATCCCCTTTCGAGTCCCACACCCCACCCCCTACATGTGAAACGCCACGATTTCTCATCTCGGCCCACTTCTCGTGGCACAGCTGATTGCGAGGAGGGTTGGCTTGTCTCAGACTGACAGTGAAAGTGTAATTGCGACGAGTGGACTTTGTCTGATTCCAGTCGTGACTCGAGCTGAGGTTGCTCCGGAGTCTATTTCGCTCGCAAGCACTCACACTTCAGAGGCTCTAGCCCTTCTGGGGTAAGTGTGCGTATGTGTGCGCATGTTTGTGTTTATGTGTGAGTTTGTGTGTGCGCCAATTGGGCGAGACCGAGGCTGTAGTCTTAGGGGAAAAATCAAGCCATCACCTCAACTCTTCGGGTAGGAGCTGATTGTCGATGTCTTGGCCTTTTGGAAAACGAGCATCTTACACATTTTCTGAGAGTTTTGTTATTTATTTTCTCCTACCTTGAGACTTGCCTCATGTAACTCTTACCAGTTACCAGGCGCCGGCTTTTGTGCCCAATAAGCGTCGGCATCGGAGTCGGTTTCGGTACACCATGAATGGCTTGTTTGCAATTGCCTAAGAGAGATAGAGAGAGCGCGAGATAGCAATAGAGAGAGAGAGAGAAAAAAATGGAATCACTGAAATTGTCAATTATCTTCTTCAATCAAAAATACCAGAACTTCTAGGAACAGTGTTAGTCAGATGTTGTACCTTTCATACACGATGTGTGAATGGGTTTCGATGCCTCTACTGAGAGAAAATTGTTATTGTAATCTTTATTTTGTGTGAAAGTACTTCATGGAAAAATTGGAAGTTTGATTTCATCGCAAGACTACATAGTCTAGCCACACTGCTTGTTTAGCGTGATGCAGTCTACAAAACCTCCTTCTTTTGTTAGAGCCTATAGTGTTACTTGATAGACATCATCAGAAATAAAACATCTCCTTCCAAAGACTTTAAGTCAGCGCTTCACACACTTCACAAGCCGTGTATGGTGCCAACTAAAAATAGCTAAAAGTATACAGTAATATGCGCACAGATATAGACTTATCAACGCCATCTGATAGTCACTGAATCTGTTAATAAAGTAAATAATAGTTACAACTTGCTGTGGTTATTATTTAGAATTATGAGCGCTGGTCAACCCAATTCGCTCAAGGTGATGAAGGAGTGATAGTAAATTTTTACACAATCATATGATTAGGCCAAATAATTCAATTGAATTTCAATTAGCCTTGACTCCCAAAAAGGTATTCTCATCCCGGCTGGACTGGTCTCATCAGCACCCACAGCGGGACTCGAACCAGGGTTGTGATAGTGCAGCATATGATTTCTACGTGATTCCGCTACACCTCGCTACCAAGACTGCCAGACAATTAGAAGACAGAAATGAATTGCAGAGCAAGCAAGTCCTCTCCCATATCACATTTTCACAATGGGATTTATTTTGTTGATGAAGCAGATATCTATTTATGTCCAATTATAAACGAATATATATTTTCCATCACACTCGAAAGCACTACTTGTATACGAATTAAGTAGGATCTTTAGACTACCGGTAAATCTTGAACACAAGCTTTAGTCACCATGGCTCGCTGAAGGTGGGAATATTGACCTTCATTCCTTCTTCAATGAAGTTAGTCTTAAAATCATACCTAATTCGAATATAAATGATAATTTCTGTGCATTTGTGAGCTTTGATTGATACATGCCCATCTTTCGTCTGTCCCGCCCTGACTAACAACATGAGAATGAGAAAGCATAAATTAGCAGACGAGAAAGGTGGACAGCTGTGATCCTGCCTGCTGTCTCGTGATCGGATTGGCTAGTGAGGCGGCTGTGAATGACTTATGGAAGATGGTTTTCTAAACTAACTTACTCTACAGATCGGTGGGTTGTTGCAAGAGTTGAGGAAGAAGTAGGAAGTTGTTTGATTTTCCCGACATTTTTGGCCAACATCTACGAAAAGTAGGTGGCTTAAGGAATTTCTTTGGGAAAAGTGCAAAGCATATTCACACATTATATCCATTGTAGTTCACACAGGAGACCCATTGACCCAGCCTGGCATACGTTCGGTGATGTGCCAACTCAGTGCTGCGTTGCCCTGATTGATAAGAACCATTAATTTATAAAAGCTAAAGACAGATGCTGCTCTTTAAAGAATCACTGGCGATTTTTACACGCCCGTATGAACATACAAACACAAATCTAAATGTGCGCACACACAGAAAGACTTGACAATTGACTAAACAAAATACTCTATTCCTGCCGAAATTAAATTCGATCAAACCGAAATTGTTGGACAAACATATTGACAATTACCGACTATAGAACGAAGGCGACTCAACTAATCTGGTGATGGTTTAAAGAATGTTCACACATTTCACGCAAATCTACACACATCCACATACACAAACACATATGCACAGGTGTTCCTAGAATAAGATATGAAATAAACTAGCAAAATCATCTAAATCTTACAAAAATATTTATATAGTTAGAATATGTACTCAGCATAAGAGGAGTAGACTTGTGGCCACCCATAAGGATGGAATAAATTCAACGTTTTCTGCAAATAAAAAAAAACATGTATGCTTCATTGACAGACCGACTACAAGTAGGAGTTAAAAGAAACCGGGTAAAAATATTACCATCCGGCCTGGAGAAGAAAACAATATTGTAAAATAGGCAAAAATGTAGGTCAACCGAAATTAACAGGCTTACATCAACTTGAAATAAATACAGTGGAAAAGCGATATTATATTAAATTTATGCAAAAATAAAAGATGCCAATAAGTTGGAAGGAGATATGAAAGCAGCATTAAATAATAGAATATGAGAAGGGATTCACTTTTGAAGGAAGATTAAGTTAAAGGAAGAATGTGATATGATAGAGTTAGGGATCCAGAATATGTCAGAGTGTAATGTTTAATGAGTGTTACGGAAATTAAGAGAATACGATAATAAGATGTAGGAAAATGGGAACATAATGTATAGTAAACAGGAATATGGAAAGAACGCAGGAATTTGAGGGGAGGATATTTGAAAAAATATTTCACAAAGAAAATGAAATCAGGCAAAAAATGGAAAGAGAATAGAAGGGAAACGAAATGAAGAGATAAGAGGAAATGAAATGTGCAAGGATGTGAATAAATGAGAGAAGATGAGAGGATCAGATTTAAGAGCAGTTTAGTTGAGTTGAGATCAGATCATATCAGATAAGAGGAGAAGAGATGATATGATATGAGTTTAGATAAGCCGGGATAATATAATATTAGTTAGTGTGTGATGTGATCAAATGAGATCAGATGAGATTGGATGAGCTGAGATGAGATGTCTTTTAATGTGATGGAATGAAATAAAATGTGTTGAGATGTGGTATGTTTAAATGAGATTAGATGCTATTTAAAATAGATTAGATGAATTAATATCAGATCTGTTCAGGTGAGTTGAGCGGAGATGAGTTGAGATGAAATGATATTTGTGCATATTTTATTATTTTTAATTGGGTACTATAAATTGATTTAAGTTGATTTATTTGAAAATGACATTGTATCAGTTCATTTCATATCATCTTTGATGAGTTGAATATAAATGACTTTATCCATTTTTTTTTCCTAATCTTTCCATTTTTAAAATTTTTTATTTTTTATTTTTTATAACTTCAACGTCATAATTTTATGTTTCTTCCTTTCATTTTCAGTTTTTCCTTTTCAAATTAAATTTCTCCCAGTTTATTTTATA